CACACACACACACACACACACACACATATATATATATTTATATTTATATATATATAATATATATATATATATATATGTATTTATGAGTAGATTGTCTATGCATGACCGTATTCTGTGCCTTATGGTGGCCCTAGAGAGTGTCTCTGGTACTTCGCCGCCGTACACTGTACTTTAACTACCGTGTGGTATATCGGGAGGTGGGCCTCTACTCAATTTAGTCTGACACGCAGAACATAAGGATAGGGTGTGTACATAATCACACGGAGATTAGTATCAAGTGAACTCGAACATATGACTGGCGACCCCCCCCTTTTTTTACTGGGACATCGTGTAGGCCTAGTGTTGTCTGATTGTATACGTACTATTTCGAGTACAGCGGTTACGATCCAACGATCTATTCGGCCGTACGACCAATATTTCTATACGTTTACGTATATTGACAATGCAGCTAATTTGCTAATTTCGAGACCAGTTCTTCAACCTGGCCAATAGAGATTCTTAAAACCTCACCCCTTACATAGACAGAATGCCGATTACAACTGAAAGCCTCAGAGTACGAATACAAACATGTCTGCATACGACTGTAATCAAACGTTCACGAATATGCCAAACAAAGCCCAGAGTGCATGTGTCCCACTTCGAATTACCACTTTCAGTCCCAATTGTACGTCAGTACAATTCCAATTCCAATCCGTAATATCAGTCCCAATATATGACATCCAATTCAAAATACTACCTTCAGTAAAATCCAATTCCAATTCCTTAAATCAGTCCACATTGTATGATATGCAATTCAAACTACTACCTTCAGTACAATTTCAATTTCAATTCCTAATTTCTAGACCACATTGTACGACATGCAATTCAAATTACTATCTTTAGTACAATTCTAATTCCAATTCTTGATTTCAGTCCACATTATATGACATCCAATTCAAATTTGTACAATTCCAATTCCAATTCCTAATTTCAGCCTTCACATTGTATGACATGCAATTAAAGTTACTACCTTCGGACTGTCAATGCGTTCGCCGCTTTCTCAGCTGCTGCTGCCTTTTCCAGTTTGGCTTTGTCATTACCTGGAGATATATTCCTTCTGCCAATCACAAGCGAATGAATTTATTTAGATATTATAGGGGTCAACTACTTCCTGACATTAATACATTACTAATACATACAGTGTGACCAACGAAAACTGGACAAAAAGTAGGGCCTTAATCATTGCACTGAAAGTATGACACAAACAAAAGTGACAAATATCGTTATTTGGTACACTTTCACTACTGAGCACACCAATGCAGGGGGCAAAAAGTAATACAAAATAATTCAGAAAAGTTATCCCATATAACAGAACCAACATCGATATA